AGCCCTTCTCAGATGCCAGCAACAATGCCACCCGTTCTCATGCAGCTGAGACAGGCCATACTTTATTGCTGGATTAAAGAATCAAGTTCATTGTGTATGTCTTTAAGAAAAAAAAAAAACAAAAAAAAAAAAAACAAAAAAAAAATGTCTTGGTACTGTATAAAAACAAAGCTTGCTGTGGGCATAATTCAGGGTCCATGTACAGCAAGACACTAATGTTCAACAGGTTGACCCACCAGACAATGATTCCCTGTTGGGTGTCCCCCCCCCACCCCTTGGCAAAGCTGTGGGTTATAGACTGTAATTGATGGGTTGTTCTCTGCTTCCAGCTTTCTCAAGGGCCCCTGCTGTTCCTCCCGGATAAGAAGAGCTGTCCTCGTAAGGTCAGCATCCAAACCTTATGAGACCTGGATGGAGGTGGGTGGTCCTTGGACTTCCCACAGGGCAGAGAACCCTGATTGCTCTTTGGGCTGACGAGGGAGGGGGGCTTGATTGGGGGAGGGGGAGGGAAATGGGAGGCAGAGGTGGGGAAGAGACAGAAATCTTTAATAAATTAAAAAAAGGAAGACATATAAAAGGGAAAAAAATATACTTAAACTGATTTTAATTTGGCACAATTAGCATTACAGAAAGCGGGTCAAACCTAGAACCAGAAGGCCAAAATAAAAGTTTTGTCGATCCCAGGTAAAAAAAAAAAAAAAAAAAAAAAAAAAAAAAAAAAAGCTGTTCTTTCCACAGTTCTTTGGTGGTGTGTTTTACACTTATTGGGCACACATATAGCTGTGGATGATTGGGAAGATGATTTTTGCTGTATAATTTTGATGAATAGAAAGAAGACCGGGGTATTTTACATTACTCAGACTGACACAGCATTCTCAGTCACAAAGACAACCTTTTACACGGACAGCTAACTCTTGACTCTGGAACAAATTCTACGCAGGTTAGTTGTCCCTGGGGACAAATATCTGGTTGGCCCTAGGGACAAACAAAGTCATCTTCCCAGATGTTATTTTGCTGATCGAAGGTCATAGCTTGAAGGAATTTAGTGAACATAGCTTCACTTTCAGCACGTACGCCTGCTCCTCAAGGTCCAGCCAATTGCTTAGTGTCTGGGGACCCTCATCAACTGAAACCTATGTGCTGGACCAGGCATTTGTCACTGGCCAGTCAATATGACAGCCCCAGCCTAAGAGAAACTACGGGATGTATCTTGTATTATGAGAATGAGTCAGGTCCTGAAAATGTAACTCATAATTTTCCAGCATTTGGCTGGAAATGGAAGAACTGAGAGGCAGAGCTATGAGAAGGGACTGTAGAGACCTAATTAGGAAGCTGTAGAAAACTCCGTAACTGTGTGGGGACAGAGAGATTCTCAGAGAGCATTTTTAAGATGAAGTAAAAGAGAAAAGTACCATCAGGAAAGTGTGTGCTTGGTCCTTTTTTTTTCTTAGGTTAAGAGCAACCCTCAGATAAGAATTTTTCCTAAACCCTCACTACTCTGAGGTTTTCTCTTATTATGCTGGAGCAGACCTGGGAGTTGACCTCCCGTGGGCTGCGTAACTTGATGCTATATGAAAATAAAACTTGCTGTGGGATTTGGAATTATGTTGTCAGCAGCTTAGTTTTCCAGTACCAGTATTTTCATATGCTATACATTCCAACACATGTCTAATGAAAAACATATTTTGAGTTTTCTGATTAAACCAAAACATACAAATGGCTTTGAAAACATTAGTACTCTGGCTATATGCCCCCAAATCTTCTTTTGTAACAAAAGAACTATATGTAAAGAGAGTGTGACTATCATTGTTATTATTATTATTATTAGCATTATAGGGGTTTTAACTAAAATATCCTCTAGTTTGCTTAATTTCCAGGTTCATTTTTTTAATTAATTAATTTATTTATTAAAGATTTCTGTCTCTTCCCCACCGCCGCCTCCCCTTTCCCCCCCTCCCCCCCAATCAACTCCCCCCCCCTCGTCAGCCCAAAAAGCAATCAGGGTTCTCTGCCCTGTGTGAAGTCCAAGGACCCCCCACCTCCATCCAGGTCTAGTAAGGTGAGCATCCACGAAACTGCCTAGGCTCCCACGAAACCAATAGGTCCAGTAGAATCAAAAACCCATTGCCATTGTTCTTGAGTTCTCAGTAGTCCTCATTGTCCACTATGTTCAGCGAGACCGGTTTTATCCCGGGCTTTTTCAGACCCAGGCCAGCTGGCCTTGGTGAGTTCCTGATAGAACATCCCCCTTGTCTCAGTGTATGGGTGCACCCCTCGCGGTCCTGAGTTCCTTGCTTGTGCTCTCTCTCCTTCTGCTTCTGATTTGGACCTTGAGATTTCAGTCCGGTGCTCCATTGTGGGTCTCTGTCTCTGTCTCCTTTCATCGCCTGATGAAGGTTAATATTCAGGAGGATGCCTATATGATTTTCTTTGGGTTCTCCTTCTTATTTAGCTTCTCTAAGAACCCAAATTATAGGCTCAATGTCCTTTATTTATGGCTAGAAACCAAATATGAGTGAGTACATCCCATGTTCCTCTTTTTGGGTCTGGCTTACCTCACTCAGGATGGTGTTTTCTATTTCCATCCATTTGCCTGCAAACTTCAAGAAGTCCTTGTTTTTTACTGCTGAGTAGTACTCTAATATGTATATATTCCATACTTTCTTCATCCATTCTTCAATTGAACGGCATCTAGGTTGTTTCCAGGTTCTGGCTATTACAAACAATGCTGCTATAAATATAGTAGAGCATATACTTTTGTTGTGTGATAAGGCCTCTCTTAGGTATATTCCCAAGAGTGGTATTGCTGGGTCCATGGGTAGGTTGATTCCGAATTTCCTGAGAAACCTCCATACTGCTTTCCAAAGTGGTTGCACAAGTTTGCATTCCCACCAGCAATGGATGAGTGTACCCCTTTCTCCACAACCTCTCCAGCAAAGGCTATCATTGGTGTTTTTTATTTTCGCCATTCTGACAGGTGTAAGATGGTATCTTAAAGTTGTCTTGACTTGCATTTCCCTGATCGCTAAGGAAGTTGAGCATGACCTTAGGTGTCTTTTGGCCATTTGAACTTCTGTTGAGAGATCTCTGTTCAGCTCAGTGCCCCATTTTATAATTGGGTTGATTAGCCTTTTACGGTCTAGTTTCTTGAGTTCTTTATATATTTTGGAGATCAGACCTTTGTCAGTTGTGGGGTTGGTGAAGATCTTCTCCCAGTCAGTGGGTTGCCTTTCTGTCTTAGCAACAGTGTCCTTTGCTTTACAGAAGCTTCTCAGTCTCATCTCAGTAGGTCCCATTTATTCAATGAGGCTCTTACTGTCTGTGCTGCTGGGGTTATACGTAGGAAGTGGTCTCCTGTGCCCACGTGTTGTAGAGTACTTCCCACTTTCTCTTCTATCAGGTTCAGTGTGTTCGGACTCAGGTTCATTTTTTAAAAGCACACCACAGGTTTTTGGGTCTTTAGTCTGATTAGACCTCCAGACTGAATCGCCACAAACTGAGGTAGTTTGGTCTTTTAATTATATGTCTGCTACTTAATATTAAAGTTACACCACTGAGGATAGTGTAAAAAATCCGAAAAGGCCTTATATGCTACGTACAATATCTAATAAATCAATTTCATTTAAAATTTTAAAAATGAAAAAAATTGATGAATTTCTAGATATAGATAATTTACCAAAATTGAACCATGAGGACATAGAAAGCAGAAATAGTATAGCATAAGTAATGAGTCTGAATAACCAAGAAGTTTCCCAACAAAGGACAGTCTGGCCTGAGCTGGCTCTGCAGAAAAATCTTACCAAATTCTTAAAGAAGTGTCACTTATTTTCAAACTATTCTAAAGAATCAAAATTCATCCTGCCAGGTCAGCATCACCCCACACCAAAAGGAGACAAAGACACAATGAACCAAACTATAAACCAATGTCATTGATAAATATAGACAAAAACACTCAATAAAATATTAAAACATCAAAAAAAGCTTTCATGAACCATGATGGCTGCACCCTAGAGATAGATGTACAGATGGTTTACCATTTGCAAATCAATAACTATAATATAATCATCAGAATGAATTACAAAAATCATAAAAATAGAAGTAGATTGGATAAAATCCAGTATTGCTTCATGATTTAAAACAAATGATAGAAAGTTCATACCTAACATAATTAAGAGTATATGACAAGCCACAGCCTGCATCATCTTGGCAGAGAAGCTAAAAGCATTTTTTCTGATATTTAAAACAAGGGAAGGACCATGTTCTTGTTCAAGATGGTCCCGAAGAGTTTAGGATGAACAATAAGTCAATAAAGAACACAGAAAACAATTACACAGAAAGGATGTCAAATGGTGCCGATTACGTGATTCTATACAGAGAAAAAAGTGTACTCCATTATGACTAGCAGAATCTCCACTCTAGAGTCTAAAACCAACATACAAAACTCAGCAGCATTTTAAAATAGCAAGAAGGAATTTGCCGAAAAGGAATCGCAAAAGCAACCCCGTTGACATCAGCAAAAGAAAACAATAAACAAGTTTCAGTGTTTTCTACCAGGATTCGGGTGGAAAATCGTCGGTTTAGTCTGTTCCTGTTACAGATTCTCCGGACAGACAGACCGTCTGGGGTTGGACAACTACAACTATTACTGGGGTTGGAAGGTAGGGGGCACATGTTCGTACTGGCAAGCGTTTGTTTGTAAGAAGGTTGGTCTCCATATGAGCAGTGGCCATGCTTTATTCTGGAATCAAGGAAAAGTCTCAAACCCAGAGTAATTTTGGAATGCAGAATGGTTTGAGGGCAAGAGCAGAGAGGAAAAGTGCGGTGAGCGGGATAAGAACAGAAGATGACGCAGTGAAGGAAAGGTCAGCAAGGTGATCAAGATGAACCCAAGAAGGCAATGCCTTGGGTGGGAGGAAAGAGGGTGGAGCTGGAACCATCTACCCAGGCGCTAAGAGCGCCCAAGGGATATAAGAACCGGCTCGAGCACTAGGAAAGCGGCAGAGTCCAGTCCCGCCAAGGCTGAGCCTTCCAGAAGCTGCCCAGACCATGATGTCCAGCAAGTTCTTGCTCCCGTTCCTGGGGTTCTGGCTGCTGCTAAGCCAGCCTTGCAGGGCACGGGTCACGGAAGAGTGGTTGAACGAAGTCATTAAGGTGTGTGACCGTATATATGTCCGAACGGTAATCGAAATCTGTGGGCACTCAATGGTATTGGCCCCGAAGGCGCCAGCTCGGCGACAAAGGTCAATAACAGGTGAGCATCCTTGGAACTCTCTCCAGCTTTTCCGTGCTTTGCTTCCCACCGGCTGCCCCAGTCGGAAAGACCCAGTCCTCTACGGCTTGTGATTCCCCAGCCTCAGGTTTGGTCTTTGTAACTTGCTTGGATTAAAGAATTTCAATGAGAACCCATCAGAGGGAGGTAGACATGCAAGCAGCTGCCAGCAGCTTCATGCTAGGGTAGCGCTTGATCCTAGCAGGAGCCCAAATCTGGGCTGTGGATTATGCCTGGGAGAACTCCTGCTCCCCCCGTAAAGCATGTCACCAAGCCAGTCTTGACCTGCAGCTTTTTGAATTAGGTCTTGCATTTCAATCTAAAGGGTAGGGGAGTGCAAGAGAAACCCTAGAGAAAAGTGAAGGGGACCAGCAAGAAGGGAGGCTAGCCTTCAGACTATCATGGCAGAACACTCACTGGCGCTATATAAAACTTCAGTGATTAAAAAGCATGTACCTGAATGAATTCAGTTAGATTAAAATGTAATGTGAGTCTAGTATATACAAGCTAAAAATATGGATTTCAAAATAAGCTAAAAATTATTTTAAATAAATAATTTCAAGGCACAAAAACCTGCAAATTAACTCTGACCCAAACTATAACTGGCCTTTGCTTACTAGTTCTAAGTACATAGAAAGTTATCATCAGCTTTGCTTGGCCACCAAGAAAGCCCTATCTGGACAAAATTTTAGAGCAAGGAGGAACCAATAAGGTGAGTTAAAGTTCAAGAGTCTTACTTCAGAAAAGAGCTAAAACTTCTGATATATANNTAATGTATATACACACACACACATAAAATCACCCAGAATGTCACCTGCATAGCTGACTTAGATGGCGAGCTGGCAGGGAGCAGTGAGAAGGTAAAGTAGCAACAGTGTTATTGCTTTCCCTCTGCCAAATTCCAGCTGCTGAAGTATATTGTTGGCTCAGGGAACAACAGGACTCTCAAGAGGGAGCTTTGTCCCAGCACACCCCTCTATAGGTGAAGGGTTTGTCTCAGGGAACGACAGGACTCTCAGGAAGAAGCTTTATCCCAGCGCACCACTGTATAGGTGAAAGGTTTGGCTTTCTCTAAAGCGTAAAGCGTCCATGGCTACCCAGGCATCTCCCTTCCACATTTACTGTATCTTTTGGATTCTTGGGTTTTCTTATTTCTTATTGGTAAGCTGAAGAAGAACAGCAGCAAGACTGAGTCATTGTTTTAAAATTTGAACGGAACCAACATTTCCAGTTTCTTTGTTTGCTAAAACTCTTAATTTGTGCATTTGGACTAGGTAAAAGGCAGGGGAGGGTTTGTGTTACTGTAAGGGATTTTTTGTTTGTTTGTTTGTTTGTTTGTTCATTTGTTGTGTTTTGTGTGGGTTTTTTTTTTTGGCAGAAAATGTTTTCTTTTTAAACCCCTAACTGGCATTGCCACAGGAACAGTCAGTCCATGCTGAACCATAGATAGGTATAAAGAAGTCAGCGGCCAGGTGGGTCTAGCAGCATTTCCTACTGGGCAAACACCACACTTAACACTTTGGCACATGTGCCATAGGAGACACTAATCTCTTTGAGAAGCACATGGTTTGGGATTGGTGTTCTTTTAAGCAAGCAGTTCTCAACCTGTGGGTCAAGACCCCTTTGGGGGGGGGACACATATCAAATAGCCTGCATATTAGATATTTGCATTACGATTTACAACAATAGAAAAAATACAGTTATGAAGTAGCAATGAAAATAATTTTATGGTTGGGGTCACCACAAGATGGGGAAGTGTGTTAAAGTGTCACGGCCTTAAGAAGGTGGAGAACCATTGTTTTAAGCTGTTTCTCTCTTGACTATACAATACCATTGACTTGGAGCAAACATTATGGAGAATGAAGATAAACATAAGTGTTTAGAGACATCCATCCTCCTGGTCAGAGCTAAACTGCTGGAAACTCTGTCTTTTAAATGCTATCCTGAAGCAGCACCTTGACACTGTGGGACACTTAAGCTCTTAAAATTATGAAAATATTTTTTCAAGGATTCCTTTCATGGCTCAAAAGCAATGAAGAAAATTACTCAGGCCAGAAAACATGTATATGAGTGGGGTTTTGTTTTGAGACGGTCTCTCTACCTAGTCCTGGCTGCCTGACACTTACTCTGTAGACCTGGTTGGCCTTGAACTCACAGAGCCTCTGCCTCTGTCCCCCCCCAAGTGCTGGGATTAAAGGCGTGTGCCACCACACGTGCCTAGCAAACGTGAACACTAATGTTTTCAATGGCCAACATGATTTCAGAAAAGTAAGAGTTCCATGTCAAAGGATGAAAATTACTGTGATAAAGAGCAAGACAGGAGTCATGAAGAAAGATATTAGAAGGCCATGCGTAAAGAGAACCCTGGTAAGATCATAGCACTCTGACCTGTCCAGCAAGCAAAACCATTTAGATATTCAATACTTGCTGATTCTGTTTCTGTGTTTAATTATATCCTGGTAAAAATAGTTTTGTTGCTATTCAAGTGTCTTTAGTTTCCCGAATGCTCTTTGACATGAATATTTTCTCCCCTACCCACTTTCTTTTAAACATCACAGAAACTGTACCATCCCTCAACAACAAAGATGCGGCGCCTTCGGATACGATGCTTAAATACCTGCCAAACTGGCCACAGAAGCTCAAGGTGGCACTGCCTGAGGAGCATCTGTCCTTACCAGAGCTGCAACAGCATGCACCTGCATTGAGCAATTCTGCTGGAAGCCTGGAAGGCTTGAAGAAAGGTTTCCACAAGACACAAGTTGAAGCAGAAGCCAGCGGTGCTCCAGAAACCAAACGCTTGCGCTTGGACACTCTCGCACGGAGAAAGAGGCAGTCCCGTATATGGCTGAGTGAGCAGTGTTGCCACTTTGGTTGTCCCAGAAGAGCTATTGCTCAGTACTGCTGATGTGGAGCCAATTGTGCGCATTCTTGTCACCTGCTTGACAAGAATGTCAAGTGCCTCTTTCTGTTCCTTTCGATGATAAGAATCCGAGAAATTGTTATCTACATTTGAATTCTCCATCTGAGTGAAAGAAATGTTCGTTCCATTATTGTTGTTCTATCAATAATACTTTTAATGCAAAACTCATTTTGCCTTTTTTAACAGTCTTATTGCTTTCAAATGATATACATTTAAAATGGCTATGAAATCTTACCACTTAAGCATACATAGGAGCTCACCTCAATATAATGCCCACTTAGGAAGTCCTGGGCCCTCCTCTGGCCTCTGCAGGCACCACAATACAAGCGGTGCACAGACATACATGCAGGCAGGACACTCATATACATAAAATTAAAAAGTTAATAAGATAAAATAAATTTAAATATTATTTAATTTAATATAATTTAATAAATCCATTCAGCTGTGCTAATGATAAATAGTAGTTAAATGTACTTTTCACACAACAGATACTCATTATGTCCAATTTAGGAGGCACTAGATAATAAATACGAATAAAAGGTGACTCTATTCACTAATAAGCTTTTAAGAAAAGATTTTAAACTCTAAGCAGCGTAGTAATAAACTAAAATGATAACAAAAGTAAGGAAACAGTACAAAAGAACTCATAAATCTCATTTATTCACTTATTCATTAATTTACCAAATACTATAAACTTACTATCACTTAATTCATTATTTGTTGATAGCATTATTAGTTGTATCTATTACACTAAAGCGTTGTTAAGAACCTACTGTATTCTGGACACTGTTCAAGGCAAGGAAGGCATCACGGTAAACAAATCAGATGAAGATTCTAACTGCCTGGAGAACACATTCTGTTCGGATGGGAGCAAACAAAGAAGTTACATTTACCACATGTCGGTTTATAAGGGGCGGCATGGGAAAATACAAAGCGAGACAATGGGGTTGTCCCTCCTCTGCTTCCTGCCTGGTCATCCCACCTATACTTCCTGCCTGGCTACTGTCCAATCAGCGTTTATTAAAAATAATACAAGTGATAGAATAAAAGCTCAAACACGGCAGGAACCTGGAGGCAGGAGCTGATACAGAGGCCATGGAGGAGTGCTGCTTACTGGCTTGCTCCTCATGACTTGATCAGCCTGCTTTCTTAGAACCCATGACTACAAGCTCGGAAGCAGCACTACCCGCAGTGGGCTGGGCTCTCCCCCATCAATCGCTAATTAAGAAAATGCCCAACAGGTTTGCCCACAGCCCAATCGTGTAGAGGTATTTCCTCAACCTCTCTCTAGTTCGTGTTGTGTCGACATAAAACTAGCCAGAACTGGTATAGAAAGCACAGATATCACGTAGATCAGATTGTCTGGCACACACAGTTTGAGTCTTTCCGTCTCCATCTATATATGCTGGGATATTCTTCTCTTACAGCATTTCCCTGAAAGAGTTCCGACTAGAACATGTGGCTTGGTACAGTTGGGATATTGATTGTTTTTCAAGGAAAGTTCTGAGATTATCCTAATCTGTATTAATATCATCTTTAATAACTCCACATTTCATTGAAAATGATAAGGAAGGCAGTTATTAATGCAGAGACTCACAATGGGCCAAAGTATGGAGACTAAGTGACTACTGAGTGGTTAGCCCTAAACTGGACATCTATAGCACCCCATGAAGGCCCATGAAATGTTGGGGAGGAGTGACATGGTAATACATGTAAAGTGTTAGAGAATGGAGAAGCAGGCTCTGAAACGCTGTCTTCTGGACATAGACTGCACAAAACTGGGCCCTTCAGCATCCCATCATGGATCAGGAAATGGGTGGGGTGCTTATGAGATCTTACCCCTCCCTGAGAGGGGCCAGTTTCTTCTGTGGTGTAGTTGATGGTAAGTTGCCCATGCTACAGGAAGTAACTTAACCCACACTCATTCAAGCCACTCAGTGAGTCAAAAGAAAAGATTGATTCAACATATGCAAATAAATATGTGTAATTCAACACATAAATGGCCTTAAGGAACAGAAACCACAAGATCATCTCAGTTGACATTAAAAAAAAAATACAGGGCTTCTACAAAGTTCAGCATCCCTTTCATTGTTGGAGAATGCCACTAGTTTTGTTCCTGGCTGCCCAGAACCAAAATAATCACACAGAAACCATATTAATTAAATCACTGCTTGGTCCATCAGCTCTAGCTTCTTATTGGCTAACTCTTACATATTAATTCAACCCATTTCTATTAACTTGTGTATTGCCACAAGGCTGTGGCTTACCAGGAAAAGTTCTGGTGTCTGTCTCCAGCGGGGCTACATGGCTTCTCCCTGACCCCACCTCCTTTCTGCCAGCATTTGGTTTAGTTTTCCCTACCAGCTCTGTTCCCCTATAGCTCTGCTATAGACCCAAAGCAGTTCCTTTATTAACCAATGGTATTCATAGCATACAGAGGGAAATCCCACATCATTTCATGATAAAAGTCCTGCAGATACTAGGAATAAAATGAACATGTCTCAACCTAACGCATCTATAGGCCATATTATGCTAAATGAGGAAAAAACTGAGAGCATTTACTCAAAAATATGAAACAAAACAAGGTTATTCTCTATTGGCTTGACTGTAATGCTTAAATTCTTAGGAGCAACAAGAAAAAGAAGTACAAGAGAAACACATATAAAAGCATGAAGTCAAAGTATCCCTACTTGTTGCTGGCATCATCATATACCTAAGAGATACTAAAGACTGTCTAATTTCTCCATCAATTTCTAAAGATAGTTTTGTTAAACACAGCAATCTTGGTCAGCAGTTATTTAATTTCAGTTCTTGAAATGTATCCTTCCATGCTTCCCTTCTTAAGATTCTTGCTTACAAGAGAGCTGAAGTCACTGTTTCTGTCTTTGTTGGTGAGCTGGTCTTTTTGATAAGATTCTTGCTTATACGAGAGCTGATGTTACTGTTTCTTTATTGATGAGCTAGTCTTTTTGCTAAGATTCTTGCTTATAAGAGAGCTAATGTTACTGTTTCTATCTTGGTTGATGAGGTGGTAGTTTTGATTCATGCTTTTAATATTGTTTTTCACTTCCTGTTTTTGATACCTTGACTATAATATGTCACGGAGCGGTTCTTTTCTAGTTCTGTGTACTTGGGTTCAAAATGCCTCTTGTGCTTGGATGTCTTTTTCTCTAGATTTGGGGAATTAATGATACAGTTATGTTGACTATATTCTTCGTGCCTCTAGTGTTTCTCTGCGACCCTTCTTCCATTCTTTGGATTCTGTGGTTTGGTGCTTGATTGTGTCCCTGAGTTGCTGGATGCTGTGGTCATGTATTTTTTTTTTAATCTCCTTTGTGTTTGAATGTTACTACATCTTATCAACCTTAACTACCTTCTCTCATTTTCTCCCTTCTGCCTGGTTGACTTTATTAGTCAAATTTTTCTCCTTTTTTTTGTTTGATTTGTTTTGATATTTGACTCATTAAGGTTTTCATTTCCAATATTTCTTTTTTTTCTTTCCAAATTTCAATTCTTTGCTGAATTTTCTTCAATTTTGCTGTCTTTTAAATTCATATTGATGATGTTCGCCTCTGTGTTGCTGATTTTCCTTTCTAGAGTCTGGACTGACGTCATCTACTTGTTCATGGTCTCTTTCAGACCACTGGTCATTTTTATCAGAAACATTTGAAGTTCTTCACCTGGCGTTTGACTTATTTCAGGACAGGTCTTTGTGTTCAGAAGTTGAGTGTGGGAGAGTTACAATGCCTTGCTTTTCCACGTTTCTTGCATTTCTGTGTTGCAATCTGTACATCTGTTTGTCTGATACCACCTCTGCATTTAGTGGTCAGTATTCCTATCGAGCAGCCTACTCTTGAGGGCTCAATTCCAGCACCACTTGGCAAGAAAAAACTAAACGCTGTATCAGCAATGACACCAAACCTTATGAGATATGCAAATATATTTGTATAATACACTAATATATCACCGATTATCATAAAACTGAAAGACTAATATAGAATGCATTATGAATACATTAAACATCTTTACATTATTATGAAGTAAAAATTATTTAGGGTAAGTGTAAAAATAATAAACCGATGCAATTGTAAATCATGTTAAATAAAGTATGTTTGACTCAGACAAATACTTTACATATTTAGAATAATGTTCTAGAATAGTTAATAGCACAGGATACTAATAAATAAGTGAATAAATTAGAACTTATTCACTCAAAATTAGTCATTTAAATAATATAGTTTTCAGCTAAAGAAATCTATTTAGAGCCAGGCGGTTGTGGTGCACGCCTTTAATACCAGCACTCGGGAGGCAGAGGCAGGCGGATCTCCATGAGTTCGAGGCCAGCCTGGTCTACGATAGCTAGCTCCAGAACAGGCTCCAAAGCTCCAAAGCTAAAGAGAAATCCTGTCTCGAAAAACCAAAAAAAAAAAAAAAAAAAAAAAAAAGAAAAGAAAAGAAAAAGGAAAGAAAGAAAGAAAGAAAGAAATCATCTATTAATCTGTTTAGCTCTTATACTGGTCATGAACGTATTCCTGGGCTGTGAGATACCCTAGCAGGTTAAAGCACTTGCCACCACGCCTGAGAAAGTGACATCAATTCCTGAAACCCACATGGTTGGTGCATGGAGAGAACTAGTTCCAACCGCTGTGCACACACATTGTGGCACCCCCCCCCCATACACAGTAAATAAGTATAATAAAACAATAAAAAAGATTTGTTGTAAGTAGAATGTGTTCATACAAATAAACCAAGGCAAATTTTTACCAGGAGCAGAATACTAAATGATGTTCTCACTTACACATTGGACTCTAGCTTCAAAACTACATATCTGTGCGTTTATATACGTATATGCTTAAATATGTGTGTTTGTGGGTCATGAAACTACAAAGGGGACCCAAGAGGGATGAGTGCTTAAGGAAGCTAGGAGGAAATCAAGTAATAAGATCCATGTACCAAAAAAGCGAAACGGGGAATTACTGCAGAAAGAAACCCAACCCCTGGGAGGTATGGCCGAGTACAATAAGGGCACGGAATAAACGAGAGCAAATGTAATGCCATAGATGTGAGAAGAAGCCATGCTTAGGCCCAATATTTCGCATGCTAACCTTAAAAACTCAATACTTTTTAAAAGGTCTATTTATTTTATTTGATGTGTATGTGTATATCTGCATGTCTGTATATTCACCGCGTGTATGCCTGGTACTGAGGGAGGCCAGAACTGGAGTGACAGACTGTTGTGAGATGCCATGTGGGTGCTAGAAAGGAACCCGTATCTTCTGCAAGAGTAGCAAATGCTCCTAAGTGCAGAGCCGTCTCTCTAGCTCTAGCAATGATTTCTTTTTTCTCTTTTTTTTTTTTTTTGTAAAAGCAAAGAGCCTTTATTTTAATCGAGTTTGCATCGATTATTTTAATCTCTCTGCAAGTACAACGTATTGGAATATCTGGAGAGCCCCAACCTCAATTAGAATTGGGTTTTTATAAACGTGGGGGTGAGGTCCAGGACCCCTGATTGGCCGAGATAGCAATGATTTCTTAAAGTTAAAAAATATAACCCATGAAGGAGATGAGAGGATGTTTCTCCGGAGGGAAAAGAGATCTCATTAACCACCAGGCAAACAGGAGTTCTCATTCCAGGTGTAGTTTGCAGCATCTTCCTTTACAACATTTTTGGTTACTCGGGGTCTACGTTCTCATATTTTAATGGCAGTCTCTTGGCCAGGAAGAAAAGGAAAATGAGTAAAAGCCAGGGAATGGGGATATTCCTTTCTTATTTCTGGGCGAAAAAGACCCTGTTTTCTTCAACTTCCAGCAAGCCGGAAGTCCAAGCACGCCTGGAACACCACACACCTCAACCTCAGTGTTCTGGAAAAGATAGCCAGGGCTGCGTGGGAGGGGCGTGGCGAGGGGCGTGGCGTGGTGGGGAGGAGGCGGGGCGGGGCGGGGCGACGGCCGTTGCAGGGCCTGGCACTGCGGCGGAGCCCAGGGATGAAGCAGTTTTGCTGTTCAGGGCGTGTGTTGTGGCTTGGACTCGTACTGTCTGCTTTCTCCCAAGATCAAGAGAGCAAACCTAGGAAGCTGTGCGGCAGGCACCTGCTGGTAGAAATTACAAAACTGTGCGGCCAAATTGACTGGAGCCAGTTCGAGATGGACGACCAAACTCCTCTGACCCATCTCGCTCACCACTCCTTACAGACTGAAGTCAAAACCTTCAGCCCTGACCAAATCCCTTCTTCAGCCTGGGGAAGATTCACAAACCTAGGTAAAACTCTGAACGGAGGGTGTGTGTTTGCTTAGACTCTAAGCGTTTCTTAGACTCTACTTTCTGCAGGAGATAGAAAGCTGCGCCTAGAATACATGTAAAGACAAATTTAAAAACATACAATCTAACATGACTATCTAGAAGAAATAATGTGGCCCGAGTAGGCCTTATTAAAAAGATACCATTTGACAAAAGAGGGTGCAGTGATTTGAATGTGTGTGCAAATTCCACGTGTTAGAAGCTAAATCCCCCAGCCGCAGTGTTAGGAGGGGAAGTCTAGTGAAAGGGACTCAATACCTTTGAAGTGGATTCGGGCCATCATCACAGACGTGGAATATCCTGAGTGGATCTGTTGTGAAATCAACTTCGTCCTCCTGTCGCAGCTTGTCGCCAAGCTCTTGTCTTGCACCGCCATTAGGGGATGAAGTTACAGGAAGGTCCTTGGGCACTGTGCCATCTACAAATCATGAATTAAGTTCAGTTTTGTTCATTGGAAATTAGCCACCGCCAGGCATCGCGCCGTGACAGTAGAAAATGGATGCAGGGGCGAGGGAGTTTGTTTAGAGGAACCAGCAGGGAAAGACAGCTCTGTTTTAATTCTACTGCGAACAGCAAGGAGGTCTGGGTGGTCGAGATGGACGACCAAACTCCTCTGACCCATCTCGCTCACCACTCCTTACAGACTGCGAAAGAATCAGGGAAGGTCAGTAGGGTTCATTCACATTGGCTGACAGTGGAAAGAACGCAAAAGCAAAGAGCAATTCGTGTAGAGTGGAAGCCAATAAAGGATACAGGGAAGGATCGGAGTGGGCAAGAGCAGATGAGCCGAATCCTGGTGGCTAATTCGTCTATGCAGAGAGGTGGGAAGGGAGATTATATGGGGACGGATGTTAAGAAATGAGCTCAAAGTGCTGAAAATTCTGTTAATTGCAACAGCTGCTGGCTGGCCGTGAATTTAGCGTTGACACATTTTGTGACTTTGACCTACCCTTACCTTTCTGATATAAGCTTTTCTCCTATGTTTGTAAAATGTATTTTAGATTTACTTAATTAATTTCATAGTTTCTTTAAACTCTGTTTGTAAGAGAAATGACTTATAAGAACCTTAAAAAAAAAACAAAATAAAACAAAAAGCCCCTCAGTCTTCTTACCTGGTTTGGAATTAGGGATTATTAATGAGCTTCCTAAGATGGCATGGAACCGTTGATAAATTACTGTTTTTTAGGAATAGGAGGACCCCACCTCAAAGACCACCTGTGTGCATCTTCTAGGGGGCGACCGTTTTTGCTCTTGATTTCTTTGTCGTTAAAGGACTTAGGTTTTGTGTGTCTCTGTAGGTTTAATTTTTCAAAGGAACCCATTTCATCTTGGTTCCACATGTTTAATGAACATTTCTCCGGAATCTTCTTCTCTCCATATTCTCCTTCTCTTCTCACTGTAGTCTGTTCCTTGATCTTTGTTTTCTTGTTTAGTGTAGTTAGAATTCTGTTTCATTAATCATAATAGCAGCAGAAAGGGGTAGTCCCCTAGTTCCAGGGACAGAGTGTCCCCGGCAAAACCTCACAATGAAAGAAGAGGGGAAATGAAAACCCAGCAATGAATTCAGAAGGCCCAGCTCCTTACACCTCTATCCCCTCCTTTTCCCTTTCTTCCTCCTCCTCGTCCCCCTCTCTCTTCTTTTGTTCATTTGTATTATGTCCTTTATTCTGTGACAAGCCTCATAAAATCATTTCGGTCTTGAATCGCAGTAACTCTTCTTTTTCTTATTACGTACATCTAATTTTAAACTGCAGGAATCCGACTGAGCCGATTAATTTTCCCATATGCCACGAATCATCACCCACCACATTAGGTTTCTTCCTTTCTTTCTTTTAATATTTATTTATTATGTATACAATATTCTGTCTGTGTGTATATGCCTGCATGCCAGAAGAGGGCACCAGACCTCATTACAGATGGCTGTGAGCCACCATGTGGTTGCTGGGAATTGAACTCAGGACCTTTGGAAGAGCAGGCAATGCTCTTAACCTCTGAGCCATCTCTCCAGCCCCTTAGGTTTCTTTCTTTGAGCTTCCAATGGAGTTGCATAATGCATAGCATGGCTCACGAAGCTGGATCTGAGGTTAAGGCCTTGGAAAAAATGTCCTCTTAGGAAGAACTGAACATGGCCACAGTGAGCATCCACAAAGCCTCTGCATAATTATATTCAGGAGTTATTTTAGTTTCTGTCATCCGGATCCAATGACGACTGAATTAAGAACAATATGACAACAAATCTGTACATCTCGGCTTCTCACATTCTTATATTTTCTTCTACTGCTTAGTTATAACCTACACATAAAAAGGCAGTCTGAGCTGGGCGGTGGTGGCCTCCCAGCACTCGGGAGGCAGAGGCACGTGGATCTCTGTGAGTTCGAGGCCAGCCTGGTCTACAAAGCAAGTGCCAGACAGACTCCAAAACTATAAAGAAACCCTCTCTCTCGAGAAAAAAAAAAAAAAGGCAGTCTGACTGGGTACTAACAAAGGCAACCAATGAACAAATAAGAATGAACGTGAGATTTAATGGGTATTTCTCCAAAGACGACACACAGAAGGCCATGAGAAGATGCTCAGAAGTACCAGTGTTGTGGGGATGCCATGGAGCTGATAGCACCACCACAGGACCTAATGGTTCCACTCCTAGGTTTATCCCCAAAAGGACTGAAAACATGAACACGTAAAAATGTAGGCGTGAATATCCATGGCAGTGTTATTCATAATAGCTAAAACCTAAAGACAGCCAGAATATCCAGGACCCAATAGATGGATGAGTGGAATGTAATATGGAAAGCCCCACAACGGGACGTTATTTCGCCATGAAAGGAACAAAGGAGGAGCATGTATGACATCCTGGATAAACATGGGGAATATTGTGATAATTGAAAGACAGGCAAAAATGACTACACAGCAGAAGCTATCCGTGTGAAATGTACAGAATAGAAAAATACATGGAAAAGAAAAGAGACGACGGTTTGCCCCGCACTAGAGGGAGAACGCATGGGAGAGACTGTTGGTGGGGGCTGCTGGCTTGCTTGTTTGTTTGTTTGTTATTGTTTCTGAGAGATGAAAGAAATGTTCCAGGATGAGATAGCGCTAATGGTGGCACAAGCTTGTAGATCTGCCAGGAACCACGGGTTCACTGCTGTGAAATGCTGAACTCTACACCATGTGAGTGGTATTGTAATAAAAAATATCACAGAATAGTCGAAGGTTGCTCAGTCTTCTCCTGTTTTAGTTAAAGTGTGTTGGCTCTGGACAACTGTACCTCCCAACCTTTATTTCAAACGATTTTTTAATAATTAGCTGATTTTAGTATTCTAATGTTAAAGTCACATCTAATAGAAGATCTGAATAAATAGAGTTATTTTTTTCCTTCTCTCTCAACAGTCCCCATATCTGCCTCTCTGGAGAAAGCAATAAACACTTGGGAACCCCAGGTCCCGCCTTACTATCAGTTTGAAAACTCCAACTTGCTTCCTGAGAAGACAGAAGAGTTTTCATCCCGCGATGTCCACCCCAATGTTGAGCGAGTGAAACTTCAGGAGAAAAGAAGAAACAAAATCAATGCCTTCAGCAGTTTATTTTGGGGGCTCCATCCCCAGAGGAAACGCAGAGGTTTCTCAGATAAATGCTGTCTTAAAGGGTGCACAAGAGAAGAGCTGGCCGTCGCATGTCTCCCGTATGTTGATTTTTAAAACTTAACGATAACACAAACATCACTGGTGACTGAGCTGTACGAGCCATCGTAGAAACCATGCTAGCTTAATAAATACTTTCTGTGTCTGATTTACCACTTACTAGTTCTTGAAGTTATGCTTGTGGGTTATGCCTTTGTGAACTAAACAGGAGAACACTCACGAGCAGTTGACAGTGTCTCGTGGTACCAGGCATCTAGGTATTTATTTAGTGGCTCCGTTTTGTCATATGTATTTTAAAGGTGATGTTACTATAAGTGCCACAGTCCACGTTGACATTTAGAGATTACCTATTTGGGTTTTGTCATTGTGGTTGAAAATTCTTAAGCTGCATTTAAATGGAATATGGAACATTATCCATTCTTCTGACATGATACACATATCCACGTCCATAACTACTACGCTCATTTCCAGAAGCCAGCTAGCGGCAGCAACGTAAAGCCGCTGACTTCCCCTCTCAGAGAAGCCATTGTACTGCAGTAGGAGGAGGCACTTTTTTAGGGCCTGGAGTTTTATTCATGCCCCTTTTCCTGCTGAGCCATCATCCCAGCCCCGGGTGAAATACTTTTAATGATATAAACCTGGGGGTTCCAGCGAAGAATTCTTACTCACTCATCGATGGGGAAGCGTCAGCCAAAGCTTTCTCTAGATTTCTTCCCAATTTTGCCGTGCAATATTCTGCTCAATGGACGTTTCTATTCCTTGCATTATATCTTGGAACTAAACTTCTTCTCCAAACAAACGTCTATTTCCTGTGCATTTGTAAACTGCTTTTCCTGCTGCGTTCGGAGTATAGTCTGCAGTTAGTTACTCTGTAAACGGGGAGAACTACCGAGTCTGACAGGAATTTATGTCTAGTCGTGCTTGAGTAGGTCCGCAAGGCTTTAGATTTAGAAGATTTACCTTTAGATGTGGACAAAACCAGATGCATTAAGGAAATGGAGCCCTAACATCAGACCTAGGCATTCCAGTAGGGAGGGACAGATGGGGGCCCCACCCGTACAGCAGGTACAGTGGCCTCTACCCCTAGCAAAACTTTCAGCCAAAGAGTAAAGGAAACGGGCTTCACCAGACTGCAGAGGTTCACAGCCTGGCACAGTTAAAGTTAAAGAAGAGAGGTCCATGGTTCACCAAGGGAGGTCCATGGTTCACTGAGCAAGCGGGTGCTGGAGAAGGACCCTGCACCTGCCGGCCTGCTCACTGGCCCTGGGTAGAGATCGATTTTAAAAGAGATCTTATTTTCAAGCCTTTAGCTGGAGGAAGCAGAAGTTCCTGCCATTTCAAAAAAAAAATGATTTTTGTTTTTAAAAGTAGCAAAGTATACACATATAGTCCATATAGTCATGGTTTTATAGGGAAACAGAACCAATAGAATGGATATATATATATATATATATATATATATATATATATATGAGGATTCATTGGATTGACTTACATAGTTGAGTCAGGGCAGTCCAGCAGTGGCTGTCATCACACTGGAGATGCTGAGATCATAAAGCTGGATGCTTCAGCAGTCCCAGCCTGGTACTGAAGGCCTGGAGGATTCCTCGAGAGCCACTGGTTTTCAGTCCACATTACTCTCCATTGGAAGCTTGAAGAAGTTGGGTTCTGACATCAGCAAAGGAATATAGTGGCGGCGGCGGTGGCAGTAGTGTAGATGAACATACTAACAAGGTAGAAGAACTGTCAGACAGAAGGCAAATGGCAAAAGCTAAGCCTTTACCCTTAGGCCTCTTTATATCTAGGTTGCTACCAGAAGGTGTAAACCACATCAAATAGATTTTCCCACTTGACAAAGTCCTTCACAGTTGTGGCCAGATGTTTGCCTTTGGTTGAATCCAGGCCCAGTTAAATTGACAACCAAGACGAAGTAAGCATCCAACAGAGAAATGTGTGTCTCATTATTGCTCCTTTATGTACATTTTGTTTCTGTTGAGCCTCCTCCTACATGCTGCTCCCTCATCCCATTGCTCCCCTGCTCTACCCTCTTCTTCTCTCTAGTAGCCCCCAGTTCTACCTTTGAGTTGAGTATATTCCATTACTCTTTCCCTTCCCTAAGCCTTCTCTCCCCCCCAGTTACACTTACATATGTAAATGTCAAAGTCTACAACCACTGTACAAGACGAAACATAGTGTTTGTATTTCTGAGTCTTGGTTACTTTGTTTAATACAACAATTCATAGTCTAATACGTTTTCTTAAAAATGTCATAATTTTGTTTTTCTTTAGAGTTGAATAAAATTCTGTTGTGTATATGAACCACATTTATTTATCCGTTCACTTGTCCATGTCCAGCTAGGTTAGCCACTGTGAACAGTGCAGATTTAAGCATGGACGTGCAAGCATCTTTCATATACTGACTCTGAGTCCTTTAGATATATACCTAGGAGTGGTATTGCTAGGTCATATGGTTGTTTGTTTTCCAGACAGGGTCTCACTATGGAGTCCTGGCTGTCCTGGAACTTACCATGTAGAACAGGCTAGTTTCAAACTCAGAGATCTGCCTGCCTCTGCCTCTCCAGTGGTGGGATTAAAGAGGTGCACCACCTTACATATCACGGTAGCACCTCTACCCTTTTGCCTATGCCTGAATCTTGATGTGTTTTCTCTAGCAATTGTAGTGATTAAGGGTTTATGGTCAAATCCTTGATCCATTTGGAATGGAGACTTGTGCAGAGTGAGATATATGGATCTAATTCATTCTTCTGCATACAAATACCCAGTTTTCTCAGCACCATTTGTTGACAAAAGCTGTGTTCCCTCTTCCCCCCAGTGTATGTTTTTGCTTCCTTGTTGAAAACAGTGCTTACACCTGTGTGGATTGATTCTGTCACTCTGTTCCTTGGTATGCGTGTCTGGTTTGTCAGTGCCATGCTGGTTTGTCACCATTGTTCTGTAGTATGCTTTAAGATTAGGCACTGTGCTATCCACCAGTGTTCTTTTTGTTCATTGTTTGTTTTTGTTTGAGACATGGTTTCTCTGTTGCCCTAGTTGTCCTGGAACTTGCTCTGTATACCAGGCTGGCCTCCAACTCACAGAGATATACCTGCCTCTGCCTCCCCAGGCGTGTGCCACCACCACCTGGCCAACAGTGTTCTTTTAACTTTGTGTTTCCTTATGAATGCTTCTTCCTAGTTCTGTGAGGAATGTTTCTGAGATTTTGATGGCAATTGCATTGATTCAGCGATTACTTTAGGCACTGTAGCTACCTTCACAATATGCTGTTGAACTAGAAGGACAGGAGATATCTCCGTCTTCCCATGTCATCTTCAATTCCCATTTTTAGTATCTTAAGGATTTTATTGCAGAGATCTTTAACCCCCTTCATTAGATTTATTTATGGATATTATTTTTGTGAAGCTACTATGAATATTTTTCATTTCTTTCTTGGCCAGTTTATTGTTGTTGTACTGATCTGATCTATTATGGTTTTGAATCATGTAACTTTGCCTGAAAGCATTTATCAGATGCTAGACTTAGCTTGCGGAGGTTCTGGTTGATTGTGCTATCATTTGTATTCGAGTCTAAGAATTAAAAAATCTCCTTCACTGTTCATACAAAAGTATATTTGATGTTCAAGTATTCTGTAGTTTCTTTCTCTTGCTGTTAATACCTAGTTTGATTCTATCATTATATGTTAAGATACAAGGAATTATTTTTAATTGCTTTGCATTTGTTAAGGCTGGCTATATAGAAGTCACGATTGATTTTAAAGAAGCTTTTGTTACTACTGAAAACATACAGGTCCTATCTAGACCTGTATATTCTGTAAATCTGTTAAATCCAGTTGGTTTGTGGTCTAGTTTAAATCTTTGCCAGATTTTAGTTTACAAGATCTACCCAAAGATGAGAATGGCAACCAAAATAGTGTATTGTATCTGGTCATGTCTGATTTCTCATGCCTTTTAGTGTTTGTTTTATGAAACTAGGAGCTCCAATATTTGGTACATAAATACACATTCTTGTATCTTCTTGGTAACTTATTCCTTTCTTTAAAATGTATATTGATATTCTCTTCTAATTAGTTTTAGTTCAAAATCTACTTTATCAGATATGAGAATTGTTATATTAACTTGTTTATGGCTTGTTTTCTTTGTATACTGTTCTCCATATTCCTAGTTTTTGAATATCTTTGACAATGAAATGTATTTGAGACAACACATAGTTGAATCTTGTCTTCTAATGTGGTTTGTCTTCATTTTTTAGTTGGTAAGTTGAAGTCATTTGCATTTAATGTTATTTTAAGAAAGGTTTATTACTATTTCCTATGGTTTTGTTGGTTGTTGTTCTGTTTGGTTGGGTTATCGATAATTCTTCCCTTCCTATCCTATTAGTATTGAAATTTTACTGTTTTGTGTGTCGGAAATGATGAGTTCCTTCCAGCTCTCCTCTGATTATCTATTCCTCTCATGAAATGTACTTTTTCCTGCGTTCTCATGGATGAGATTGGCTTTTTCTTTTTGTATAGCATTCATTTCTTAAGTATTTTCTGCAGTGCTCTCATGGCTGTCACAAACTGCCTTAATCTGGATCTTCAAATGTTAGTATTTCTACATCAATTTTAAGAGGTAAATTTGAGAGGTATAAATCTTGGCTAACAGTTACTCTCGGGGATCAAAATATGTCATTCTGTGCCTTTTTGGTTTAATGCTGCTAATGAGAGCTGGTGTTATTTTGATGTTGTTACTCTTGTGAGTTTGTACTTTTCTCTTAAAGATTTTACTGTTTTTTTGCATCTTGATTGACTATATGTTGGAGAGAGGTTCTTCTTTGTTCATGCCTACTTGGTATTTAGATTGCCTCTTGTGCTGTGTATAGTGGTACATGCCTTTAATTCCAGCACTATAGACATAGAGGCAGGCAGACTGCAGTGAATTCAATGGCAGCTTGGTTTACATACTGAGTTCCAGGCCAGCCAGTGCTAGAGAGTGAGATCTTGTTTCAAAAAAAAAAAAAAAAAGCTTCTTGTATTTGGATGTCCTCTTCTGTTTTTAGGAAACTTGCTGGAGTGATTTCACTGAATTAGCTGCCTGTGCTTTATCTTTACACCGTGTTTATCTCGACAACTGTACTTCTGCTTGGTTTTGTCTGTTGATGCTTTCTTTCCACTGTGCTTTTGTTTCACCGATTCCTTCATTTATAGAAATCCTGTTTGGTTCTTGTTCAGAGTCCCTATTTCCTCATTTAAATTTTCTGCCACGTTTCTCAATTTCTGCTTCAAAGTATTGCCCATTGTCCCACTTCGGTTAGATTCTAAATTGATTTCCTTACTTCTTCCATTTGTCTGTATATGGTCACTGATCTTTCTAAATAAAAAAGTATGACTGAAATTTTTTTTTTGACATCTATTCCATTAGCTATAAGTTCCATTGTGGAGACACTGTGAGCTTAAGAAAGTGCTGCCATGATTTGTTGAGTCTTTTTGTGTGTTTACTTTTTGTTGTTGCTATGATTTGCAAATCCGTTAGGTTGGATGTTTCTTCTAGCTTTTAGCTTTCTCCTTTTCTGCCTTTGTTTTTNTTTTTACATGAGCTCTTCTGTGAGGCGGCTCTGTGGGTGAGGATACTTGCTGTTAAGCCTGGCCACTTGAGTTTGATCCCTGGAGACAATATGGTGGAAGGAGAGAACTTATTTCTACAAATTGTCCTTTGAACTTGCCTATGGCATGTAGGGGTCAGGTATGATGGCCCATGTCTTTAATCCCAGCACTTGGTAGGCAAAGGCAGGTGGA